TTCCATTAATTGTTGTTTTCAGGGTAAACATAGAAGAAAACAGAAATAACACTGAAGTGATAGATATCAATTCAGTAAACATCCCTAACGATACGATTTATGTGAAAGATTTTGATTTCAATGCCAATCTTCTAAATACAACTGCCAGTAATGATAGTTGGACCGACTTTTTATCTCAAGATAACTGCATATATATTTATTCCGGAATCATTGGTGTTCTAATATTTGCTGCGTTTAGTAGAACCTTTTTCTTCTACATAGCTTGTGCCAAAGCTTCTATGACTTTGCATGATAATATGTTTGTTGGTCTGACTCGAGCTACAATGAGATTTTTCTACAAGAATGCTTCTGGAAGGATATTGAATAGATTTTCTAAAGATATTGGTGCCATTGATACTATTTTGCCTATGGCGTTTATGGACTGCATTTTCGTAAGATATTATTTAATTATATTACCAATTTTTTTTTTAATATATCCGTAAATATTTTTTTATTTTAGTTTTTTGCTGATACTATAGGTATATTTGTTTTGGTTGGAATAGTTGATTATGTTTTACTTATTCCAACGTTCTTTATGGGAATATTATTTTATGTAATGAGAAGAGTATTTTTATCTACAAGTAGAAGTGTTAAGAGACTGGAAGGAATCAGTAAGTAATAACATTCATTTATTTCGAAAAGTATAAATTATTTGTGTTTTCCTCATGAGTTGTTTTACCATTTTAGCCAGAAGTCCCGTTTTTACGCATGTAAATGCAACTCTGCAAGGTCTAACAACCATTCGAGCATTTGATAAACAAAAAGAATTATCTTTAGAGTTTGATGAACACCAGAATCTGCATAGTTCAGCATTTTATATGTACTTAACAACAACCAGAGCGTTTGCACTATGGCTTGATGTTGTTTGTATTATTTATATTCTGGTAGTCACACTAAGCTTCCTGGTTTTAGGCAATGGTAATTAAAGAATCAGAAAAATTGATGATAGATAAAAATTTTATTAAATGTATAATCAATATTATCATTTCAGATCACGCACCTGGTGGAAACGTTGGTATGGCGATTACTCAAGTCATTGGTTTAATAGGTATGGCACAATGGGGAATGCGACAAACCGCTGAACTTGAAAATCAGATGACCTCAACTGAAAGAGTTTTAGAATATACAAAATTAGAACCAGAGCCTTCCTTAGAAACACCGCCAAGTACAAATTTACCACAACCTTGGCCAACTGCAGGGCGCGTGGAATTCAAGAATGTCAGTCTTAGGTAACTATTTCAATAACAAATATTTACTTGTAAAATGAATTAAGAAAAACAACTTACACCATTATTTAATATTTTTAATGACTTCATATGTTATACTACTTTACTGATAGATATAATCCCGAAGAAGAGTGTGTCTTGAAAAATCTTAACATATCCATATCGGGTGGAGAAAAAGTTGGAATAGTCGGTAGAACTGGTGCAGGAAAATCATCTTTATTGTCTGCACTCTTCCGTCTAACAGAACATGAAGGAATAATAGAAATTGACGGAATTGATACTAAAAAACTTGGCTTACATGATTTAAGGTCCAGCATTTCTATTATTCCCCAGGAGCCAGTTTTGTTTTCAGGAACTCTTAGGGGTAACCTTGATCCATTCAGTTGCGCCAGTGATGATCAGCTTTGGAAAGCATTGGAAGAGGTAAAAAATATATGATTTTTTTTATAGCATTATTTTACTCAATGTCTTAATGGAATCACATTTTTCAAATAGGTTGAATTGAAGAAAGTGGTCAGTGAATTGACTTTAGGATTGTACAGCAAAATGTCGGATGGTGGATCCAATTTTAGTGTAGGACAACGTCAATTAGTCTGCTTGGCTCGTGCTATTTTAAGGGATAACAAAATTTTAGTCTTAGATGAGGCAACTGCTAATGTTGATCCGGAGACTGACCGACTTATACAATCAACTATTCGTGAGAAATTCTCTCACTGCACTGTTTTAACAATAGCTCATAGGTAAAATTCTGCAGCATGTTAAAATATGTAAAATTTACATATAACTTGCATATGATTGTTGGAGTGGTAAATTATTAAAGAATTTTCAATTTTGTTAATTTTTTTTAGATTGCATACAGTGATGGATAGCGATAAAGTCTTAGTAATGGATGCTGGCTGTGTAGTAGATTTTGGGCATGCTTATGATCTGCTTACAAAAGGTTCAGAAATATTCAAAAACTTAGTAGACCAAACGGGTAGCTCTACTGCACAAATGCTTACAGATATAGCAAGAGCAGTGAGTATAATTTTAATCAAAAAAAAATATTATTGTGTATTTGAGAATTATAGCATATTCAAATATTTTAGGATTTCCAAAAGAAAAATGAGAATAAAAAAACAGCATAAATTATTAGAAGATAATTATTGTGAGTATTATGTAGATAATTTAAGATCGTGATATAGTAAATGAATTTATAGATCTTTATAATTTACATTTTATAGATAAATTAAATCAAGTTTATATGTATAGCCATAATGGCCTGCCTTACTTGTTCTTGCCTTTATCACAGCTATTAACAAATTTATATATATATATATATATATATATAATTATAATATAGCTATTATAAAAATTGTATACTCCTTATGACTGCCAACGTTTCATAGATTAATGAAAAAATGTACTTAAAGTTCGTAACATTTGTATTTAATATTATGTTTTAATTGTACTATGTTAGATACATTTATTGACATCAACTTATCTATGGTTAAACTTGGTTTATTTTGATAAATTATGATTATTTAAGAGGCACTTCTTACTTATAATGATGTGTAATTCGGTTTTGCACTTCATACATATTTTTAGTGCTATATTGTCACTCTATATTAAATGCATAGTGATATTCGTTTTGATAATATTTAGACTTTTTTATATAACAACTGTTAGTATTAAAATATTTTATAGGTATAAAATCACAACCATTTGCAATTATACTAATTTGATAATAAATATAAAATTTTCAAACCCAATATATAATATTTTTTCTAATCAATATATGTTAATATTTTTAAATAATTATTACCCATTTTGTTTACTGATTTAAAAATTGGTCTAATAAATCATTGTCATCTTGATCTAAAACTATATCTTCTAAACACACTGTTTGCTGGGAAGGTATGCGAACCCCTGCAGTATACATATTTAAATATATTTAAATCATTATCATTTAATAAGTAATTAAATACATACGTTCAATATGGCCTTGAGTTTGATATTGCATAAGATCATTTTGAAAAGCTTCTTGAAACGCTTCCTGACGTTCTTTCAACTCTTTTTCATGAATTATTTCCACCTTCTTTATATTTTGAGTGTGCTGTACAGCTAAAGTACTACGATATCTTTCTAAGTTTTCTGAAATATATGATAGTTAAATGTGATTATGCATTCATATTAAAATAAATAAAAATGTATAATAAATTCAGCCTCAATACCCAGTTTTTTTTGTTTGTATGACTGTATTTGATCAGCATATTTTAATTTACGGTCTTCTATTTCTAAAACCTCAATTAAATTTTCTAATTGAAATAAATCTTTTTCAATATTTCTAAACTGCAAACCGATTTCTTCTATAGATTTAGAGCAAGAGTCAATTGTGGATACTAAATAAGGAATATTAGCCAATGCTATGTTTAAATCCATCATTTTTCTTTTGTGTGATTCTGTGTCTTTATAAATTTTGTCTATCAAATTAGCTAGCATTTCAGCAGTCTTTGCATTCTCCTAAATGAATTGGTATAGATTAATTTTAAACTAAGTGTGAAGCAGGCTTAGTCGATATAGAAAATAATAATAAATGATAATAAAGATATATTACTTCAGTTAAGTTATGCATTGATTCCCAATCATTTTGATATTTTTCCAATAATTTACATCCAGCAAAATAGTTAACGTCGTCAAATTTATCACTTGATTGATTTATACTTTGGTCAGCTGTCGATGTTAAGGAAATACTGCTTATACTATCTTGTACAACGGTTTTTAATTTATTTCTTATATTATTAAACATATTTAAAAACTCGACATGACAAAAAATATAATGAAAAAGATGAAAATATGTTACAAAAACATTGAAAATAAATCAAAAGAAAAACCATAAAAATAATTAGAGAAATGTCGAACTGTCAAAAGTTTGACAGTTAAAACTGTCAAAAGTTTGACAGTTAAAACTCGTCAAAAGTTAGATTTTAAGTGATTGGTTGATTTAAATTAGTATTTTTAATGGAGTGGTTCACAAATGGAGATAAAGATTCCACTTGAACATTTACAAAATGTAAATTAAATGTATAAAATGATTAAACTAGTGTTTTTGATGTAGTGATTCACGAGTGGCCTGCTTTGGGGCTTCTAGGTGCTACTTTGAAGGATTTTTTGCAATGTAAGTCTTGAATGCAATTTTTATACACAACTTGTCAAAGAATACTTTTCTGGAATTATGTACAGGTATTTATTGTATACCAAATGATCACTGATAGTATTTTGAAACATATATAATATTTAACATATAAGTATAACATTTTGGTATTTACAGAGATTGGCCTTATAGGCACATGCATTCATTTGGTGCATGCATTTGGTCTATATTTGGCATGATGCTTAACTTTATTAATTCGTTTTTTTTTTGCAATTCTAGTAACAAGTAAAATGAAATTTATCATTTGTCACATGTATTCGATTAAAGAATTTCAAAACCAAACTACTTCAGCAGATGTATGTGTGAAAGCTTTCGAATATCACACTTGCAAAATTGTGTTATCAATTGTGAAAACAATTCATTACGGGAGAAACATCTTGGTTTCTTTTCTTTGTTTATCTCTCATACCAGATACCTCTGTCTGACTGTGATATAAAAATAATATATAAATAAATAAATAAATAATAATAATAAATAAATAATTTATTCAAGCAAGTACAATTTGTAAATTTAATAAATCAAGCTTGTATTTCTTGTCTATATCAATTATATTTTGTTAAATAATATTTATCATATTTGTTTCAACTTACAATATTACCAATTTTTGTTGTACTTACATAAATAGTCCATCGGAATGTTTTTTTATACTGTAAGACATCGTGCTTCTACAGAGGATTTTTAGGAAAGAGTTAAAATGTTTCAGTTTCTTCTCTTATGCAATCTTCTACTGGTTTTTATACATTATGTAAATATGTTCATATTTATTAAAAAGTATTTGAAATACTATTGTCAGTCATATATTAAATTATGTTCACATGTCTATTTGAAGCATGCATCTAAAGGGTTGTCGTATCAACTTCTTTAAATATTTTCAGTTTTAAAAATTTGTTTTTCAAATGAATATGCTTTCAGTATTATTTATTAATTCATTAACCACTCAAACTTTTGTTATTGTTGAGATGTGAATTCAGCTTGATTGTTGGCACTAGGCTGCTTTTCAGAAATGTATTTTAATGATTTTGAGTTTTAAATTGAATCAGCTCGACTGATGTTGCTAAACTGATCTTAAGACTTACACCTCAATTCTTTTGAGATATAAATTGTGTCAGCTGAAATTGTTATTAGGCTCAGACTTATACTTCCCATTTTATACTTTAAACTTAATTCTTCAGACTTGCATGTTTTGAGCTATACTTTACATGTTTTGAGGTATAAAGTGTGTCAGCTCGATCAGCTCTTACTAGACTGATTCTTATACTTCAATTATTTTGAGATATAAAATGCATCAGTAATATGAATGAATTGCGTACAGCCAGAATTAATTTTTTGTTTCAGAACTTGGTGCATGTACCTGAGTAGAATGATGTAACTAGAATATTAATATATTGTCGTTATATTGATTATAATATAAAATATGCAATTAAGAATGTAATATTTCTACAATTTTGGTAAATATGCTCAGATACACCGAGTGCCAACTAGCAGTTCTAAAACAATATCTCTAACGTCATTAAAATAATTTGATCAATTTCCAATCACTATGGAATCTGGTAATGTTTTTATCCAATTTCATGACGACGTTTTAATAACTTATAATATTTTATAATATTTATTTATTCTAGTTTTAGATAAGCGGTTTATTGCGTATTTAAATCGCAAGTATATAATTTTTACTTAAGATGGAATGGCTCTTCATGTACACATAATATGAGTATAAATAATATTGAAAACTTCACAATTAATTATACCTAAATTCATTTTATATTTGAAAGTTACTTCATTTTACTATCTGTAATTTTAATTTTAATTGAAATATTGAATCAGTATTTTATATAACAATTTAAATAATATTTTAATTAGAGTTATAACAATTATTCAATATTTCTGCCATTTACCTTGATAAAAAAAATTACAATAATCAAAGTGTTACATCAAAATCTCGTTTGCGATCCGTGAGCTCATAAGATTCATTAAAAAGTCAAAAGTCATATTCAATGACGACGCAAGTAATAATATGAACAGTTTCAATTCAGTATTTGATCAGTCAGTATTATTTTTATTATTAAATTGTTTATGCAATTTTTTATTAATTATTCTGCTTAAAATTACAGAATGTTTAAATATTTCAAAAGAACTATTTTCTATTTATTGATCTTAGTAATATTATTAACGTTTTCAATATTTGAAACTACTGGAAAAGTGCTCAGTCGTTGTGAAATTGCACACGAACTTTTGAATCAAGGATTTTCAAATGATTCGTTATCAAATTGTAAATAACTAATTGGCAGATATATATATATATATATATATATATATATATATATATATATATATATATATATAAACCAAAACACAAAATAGAAAAATGATTAAAATATGTTTAATAAAATTATAAAATAAATAATTTCCCGATACCATCAGTTATACTTGATCATCATAATTTCACTTAACAATATAATTTTATTGAACATTTTTTTATTTTTTTTGTTATGTTTTCGTGTCTCATTATTAATTAAAACTCCAATAAAAATGCTTTTTGTTGTTCTTGTATGATATGTATGCACATTGAAATGTTTATTAAGAAATAATTATTTCTTACAGTTGTTTTGTAATTATTGTGCATTTGTAACTGCTGAATGATCAGCCGAGCCATTTCTTTATAATTAGCAGATTATCAAAAAGATATTTGTTAATATTGAACATACCGATAAAGTTCATGGTCTTAACGAATATCCTAATAAAATATTAAAGACTACGAAAAGTAATTTAATTATAAAAGTTGATTAAAGTTTGGAATAATAGGCCGCCCGATTAGGACATTAACGTGTATAATATCAATTAGAAATCGCATTGATTAACTTTCAATAAAAACTGAAATAAACGGTTGAAAATTTTATTATCACAATTTTAAATCTGAATTTTTATTTTTTTACCTTTAGTATTTCGATAATTTTTTGTAAATCGTACTCTAGGGGTCTGTCTTGTTGAATCAGAAAGCGCCGGTAATACTTCCGCTTTAGGTATTCTGAATGGACGTGGTAAATTTTATCATGGTTTATTTCAAATAAATGAAGAATATTGGTGTCGGAAAGGAAACCCAGGCGGAGGATGTAACGTCACATGCGAAAGTAATTATTATATTGCATAAAATAATTATAACTAATTAAATAATATTGAAATAAATCTATTTGAAGGTTTGACTGATGAAGATATAAGTATGGCTGCAGCTTGTGCTCTGAAAATTTATAACAGGCATGGTTTTCGTCAATGGGCAGGATGGAAAGTCAGATGTGAAGGCAAATCTATTGATCTAAGCAAGTGTTTTGTGGAAACTGAGAATCTAATGAAGTGAGAATTATATTTATTCTTTCTAAAATCCAAATTTGAGAACTAATAATATATTATCTTTAAGTAATAATAAACCGAAATAATTGTTTTTATAATTGTATTTATAAAAGACTAGTATAATTTTAATATTTTTCATAAATTTCTATTTTAATGCTTCATATCCTACTATATTTTCCAGTCGTTCCAGTTGATTCTCATCTAAAGTCATTTGTTCTTTTAGATATTTAGCCATAGAAACGGTTTCACTAAATGCATTATCCGCACAATATTGAATACACGTCTGTAATGAATTGAAATTATAAGTGCTTTATAAATATTAAGTTTCAATGAAAATGAGTTCTAATACATACAATTGCTCGGCTGGGTGTTTTATTAGTTATACACAGATCCAAATAAATTTGAAGCGGTTCTATAGATGGAATTCCAGTGCCTACACCTGAATTTAGCTTTTCTAAAACTGTTGTGGCTTTATCAAATTCCTTGTTTCTCAAAACAAGTAGTAAAATATTTCCTAACAAATCTCCAGTCCAGCTACAACAAACAAAAATAAGTTTTTAATAAAGCATTTCAATTATTCTAGAAATTTGTTGGTTAATTTTGCTTATTACGTTATCTGTTTTGTGCGAGATTCATCTTGACCCTCAACTTTCTCCCAGACCGCCCAGGCAATTTCAGAAAATTTCTCAGAAAGGGTGTTATCATCAGTTAAACTTTCAACGGGATATTTTACCATAATGTTCAAAAGCAAAGTTACAATATTTGCTCGATTTATATGGTCAAACATAACCATATGTGACCAAATTCTAGGCAAAAGTTCCACAGAACCATTTAAATCAATTGCTTTGAGAATCTATAAAACACAATCATAAATTAAATAATGACAAAGTTTAGATGATGATATTAAATAGCTCACCTCAAACATTACAGATGGTTCTGGGGTATAAATATTTGGTACTAATTTATCATAAAATTCCATAAAAACTTCTAAAGGCTCTGTAGAGCAAATTAACATGAAGTAATGTCGACTGCAAAAAAAATAATTCATATTAATAGATATCACAGAAAAGGGCAGATGAAGACGAGAATAGCTTGTCTGCTATGTTAAACTCACTAATAAATTGATTCTTTATATGAATCACCAATTAAATTGTAGTTTTCTCCAGTATGCAGAAGATCATCTACCCGTCTAGCTAACTCTACATCATTCAAATGGTTGTGGCATATGTCCATTGCAGTCACAAAGAAAAATGTGTCTTTAGGATCTACTATAGCAAATTCTTTTCCAGATATGTGATTCATAATATCAACAAGTATAGAACTAATAGGTCCTCCTATCAAGAAAATCCACTTTGAATGCAATTCTAAATATTATTATTAAATCATAATAATTACTTACTTTCCTTGCAGAATGTATTCAATACATGGTACCATCCAGCAAGTGAAGGTTCTAAATTTAAAGATTTGAACTCAGCCAAAGCTTTCAAACAATAATCTTGTGATAGCCTAGGGACTCCTAGTAAACATATGGCCTCCAAAACAGAGTTTACTGTTAAAACATTTGGTCTCAAGCCCTGAGGATAAGAACAAAATTATTCTTATTTACACATAAGAACAAAATACAAAAAGGTATATCATTGATGAAAAATTAACCTGATTCTTCATATTAGTCAATAATTCACTAATAAGATTCCATCTTAAATCGGCACTCTCTTTGAGAAAGTTTGCAACACGAATTAGACTATTATAGGTGTCTGTATCAATTGGTATCCTTTTCTCTAGTGTTTCTTGATACATTGCCCAAGCACGGTCCACCTATCAGATTAATAAAGTTTAAATTTTCTATAGAAAAATTATTATCAAATCTAGTATATTGTGTTTACTTGAAAGAATTTTGCCATTCCTCGGATAATAGCACAATAAGCAGCAGGAGTTTTAGTTTCAAGTGAATTAAATATTTGATCAGCTAAACTATGATCTCTGAAATTGAACAATTGGTTTTCAAAATATCATAAACCTATACCTCAATTAAAATTACATTTATTATTTATATCATACTTCCAAGTATTTCTTTGTCTATCACGAGTTTGGGCACTTTGCTGGAACCATCTTTCTTCAATAAGTTCTTCTGAAACGGGTTCTTCCTCATTATAGTAACATAAAAGTTCAAGCATAGATTGAATACATTTCTCAGATAGCTTTGATTTTTCTTTTAATATGTTGTATACAATTACTGCATCAGAAAGTCTAGCATTGTGAATTAGATTTAGCAAAATTTCTTCATTCACCTATTTATAGATATTCAAGATCAGATTTGAATGTCTCACATGTTTGAAATTTTTGATGATTTGGTAATTTAAAACACAAGCACAAAATTGATTGCAAGTTAATTTATGGTTCTCAATTATTGTAGCTCAAATAAAATTATATTTATATAAATTCATTTACCTCAGACTTTTCATCATATACTGGTCGAGGTTTATAAGCTTCTATAGGAGGATCTGCAATATTGTGCTGGAATAATTTAGCTTGCTCTTGTCGAATAAACATTGCAGCTTTTCTTCCAGCTTCTTGAGCCATAGCAAATATTCTTTTTCCTGTTGTATTATAGTGATCCATTTATTACATGCTCATTAACAGAATATTCCATCAATATAAAAATATGAATACCTGTATTAGATGATGGGATTAGGAATGGATCATCATGATATTTAAAATGTGCTGCTGTCGGATCTCGTTTCACAGTACTGGAAAGTGCTTTTAAGATATCAGTAGGCCCTAGAAAATATGTAAGAAACAAATTGTAAAAAAATGTTGATATAAGGGATATTTATTTTTTTATATCTACATACCACGATGTATTCTATTAGGTATGACAATTCTTCCTGCATTTTCAGTGGAATATAGGCTAATACTATTTAAAAATCTTGGGAAGTTGATGTGTGTTACCTTATTCATGTTAAACATGATTAGTTAATTTTTTTTTAATTTAAATGCCAAATGTAATTGTATGCAAGTTCTTTTCAAATAATTTGAAGGTTATATTAGCTTAAATATTTAACCAGAATATTTGTATTATTTAAATAGAAGGTGAAAGCAATAACAATTATTTATTGTTTATGTTATTTAAATTGTAAAAGTAATCACATCTAATATAAACAATTAAACGATTTAAAGTTTTGGCATTTAACATTTGCATAATTCACATAATTGTCATAACCTCAAACAAGCGTTTATATAGAAGGAGAGCTGATATCAAGAGTAAGCAAATTAGCTAAATAAATATACAAATTAACCTTATCATTATTTCTTGATATTTGTTTCTTTTTAATAAATATAGCTTTTAGTATGAAATCTTACAAATATTATTCAATATTTAATGTAATACATTATTTTACAATCTAGCAAGTAATAGATTAAAATCGCATTTAAAAACATATACTATATAAAGAACAAATGCATAATTAGTTTCTGAATTGTCTTGAATTTATCATCATATTTTAATAAATCGAGTTCACATTTATATTTATATTTCAATACTTGTGTATGTTCCAAAAATTTAGCATAAAGTATGTGAGAGTAGTGTAATAATAAATAATAATTATTTCAAAATCATTTAATATCGATCTTTATCTTTTGACCAAATGGTCAATTATGGCCATTTTTAAAGTTGAGATCAATAATATATTATATTACATTATTATATAATATATTAAATTATAAAATCCTATTATATATTGTCTAGGTTTGGTACGCCTACATTTTTTCTAGAGACTCCCTCACTAATAGAAAATACCAACCGAATAATAATACAATCAAAAGAATGATAATATTGGTGTTCATGCAGCGCCGCCATTAAGGCTTACTGTGAAAGATAGTATCTTGACATGGCTTCCGATTTTCCCTTATATCATGTATTGATTATATTTTGACGTTTGGTTTGTATGTTTACAGTGTTTATTTCCACTGATAGATAGTAACGCGAAATAAATAGAATAATGCATGAATCGAACTGTGAAAAATAGTGTAATACAACCATAAGTGTATAAACATTTGGGTGTGATATATTCATTGTGTCAGTATGGGAAATTGTTTTAGTACTCCGGCAACTAAAGAAAAGCCTACTATTGACAATCGTGCCCCTATAGACGATGTGCAACCCTCACAAAACACTCCAGTGCCTACGCCGCCCCCCGATCCTATTAGACCCATTCAAATTCTCCCTGAAAATGATGTTCCGAATGCCAAAATATTCGTAGCTCTATACGACTATGATGCTAGGACAGATGAAGATTTGAGTTTTCGTAAAGGAGAACATTTAGAAATTTTAAATGATACTCAAGGAGACTGGTGGTTGGCAAGAAGCAAGAGGACCAGACAAGAAGGCTACATTCCGTCCAACTACGTTGCGAAGCTCAAATCCATAGAAGCCGAACCGTAAGTAAATAATTTTACTTTCACTTGTGGCTGTTATATATTATTCTGATGTGTTAAATAGATTTCGAATAATATTATTAGAACTAATCAAAATTGTGCTAATTGCGCAAGTTGACAGATGTCTGAATACACAAATTGACAGTTCAAAAATATTTATTTATTGGCCTTCATAGGAAACTTATATTAGTCCTATTTGTACTTTACTAGGTAGGTTATAGAAAAAGTCCTATTTGTACTTTACTAGGTACATTCATATTACCTGCAAATATTTTTATCGCTTTCTTATTTACTAGGAACGTCTAAGTAAATATTAAATACAAAAATTTGGTTGGCTCGTATGTTCTGCTTTTTCAATAATTTGATTAATTCGAGTTATTTTGACCATTTATACACACAATTATTAGACACATATATTTGTATCTAATTGATGGAAACAATAATGCTAATTTTTAAATATTTGTATCAATATTAATTGTGTACGGAAGTTGGCGTACATAAATATGTGTTTGAATATATATTTGCTTTATAAATTCCGGGTATTTAATCGCAATCTCTTATATTAACAAATAGCTATAAAATGTTTTATCACTGGGTTACCTTCAACAAATATTCTCCGAATGCAAGAATTTGAATTCGATTTTTTATTTGTATTTTGTTCGTAGAATTACTGTTGTTGAATTAAATTCATGTATATAAGTGAAACTTGCAGTTTTAAAAATTCTTTCTTTGAAATATTATTATATTATATTTGAAAAAAGCATCAATGTTGAAATAACATAAACATTTCATTGCCCTCGAATTCCTGTGCTATTCATTTTCTCAATAGCCATGCCCAGGTTCACCCCTCAAAAATTTCATAAGAAAAGTTGCAAGGTGCCATTTAACTTCTTATGAACTGTTACATATTTTGTAACCAAAAATATTGCGTTGATATAAATCTTTTTTGTTTTGTTAAAATGTTTACCGGAATTCCGGTTTCCTCTATTTCCTAAATTGCCCTGCCCAGGTTCACTTATCAATGAATCCTTACAAGTATAGATTGCAAGGTGTTGCTCAACTTTTTATTATAATGTACTTATTTATTATTCAAAATTAGAATGAAGCTTTCAGTTATAATATTTATTCAATCATTTTTATATACATACAATTTAATTCAATAATTGAATAGTTAATTATAAATTGTTAATTGATGTTTTCAGAAGTCACTTTCTACAAGCACAATAAATTTTTATTGAAATCTCACAAGATGTTAAATCGGTCAAATCGAATGTGCGAATTTTTCACTCACACGCCTTGCATTAAAACAATACTGATTTATATAAAGATTGCAATGTGGAAAGTTTGATATGCAGTTTATATTCGTTCATGATTTCTCATCGAAGTTTTCTTTATGGAAAAAATCTCTAGGCATTTAACTTCAACATATGTGTATCAAACTTTACTTGAATATTTCTGCAGCAACAAAATTTCAACAAATATCATACCACGACGTATTGGACTTTCTATGATTGATATCTGTGTTGAAAGTGTTGTTCCAATATTTTCAATTATTTATGACTTCTGTAAGTGCATTTCTTTACTCAATATATCATTTCTTATTATATAGATAGATAATATCTATCTATACCAGTGTGTTCGTACTGGACTTCAGAAAGTAAAAATTTCATACTATAGCATCTACAGGTACAATAATTTTTATTGTATTTAATTCATTTTATTTATTGATTTTATAGTAATTAGTTTCAGGTAAATTTTTATATATATCCTTTGGGACTAATCATTTTGATTATATGAGCTTCATAGGCGGTCGTATAATAAATGGGTTAGATAATCTCCTGTTTTCTTCTACTTCCTCCTAATATTTTTGGATTTTATATACCTGGAATGCCGATGGTGTTGTTGACCCTGATCTTGGAAGTACTAAAAGTATTGTAGTGTACTATAAAAATATAAATAAAAATTATACTTTGGTAAAATGTGATTTCAAAATTTCATTCTATAATTAATATGGGGGCTTTTCCGTGACTTAGTGGTTAAAAGTTAAAAGCCTTAGACTTAGACTTGTAATCATATAGTGACATCAGATTTTACTTAGAAAGACATCATAGATGACAATATATTTCCAAGTAAAAATAAGTCTTTTCCGGCATCGCTGCACTCAACAAAAAGTTACCAATATTCAGTCTTTATTAAAGTTTTCTTATAAAAGCTATAATATATTCATTAAAAAGAGATATGGATAGATAGAAATAACCCAAACATTACTGGTGCAAATTTATTACTTCTGTAAGTACATTTGTCAGTTCAGTAATATCAATGAATATTTAAGCTTCAGAAAAGAACTATTCGAAAAACATTTTCTTTGCACAGTAAAGCCTCCTGCAAACCCATATTTAAAAAACACAATATTCTAACTGTCCATGCATTTTTCTGCTGGTAACATTATCTTTCATCAAAAACAATTCGAAACTTTTTGATATAAACACTACAACACTAGACACAAACTTATTAAGGCGCGCACATATAAATTAGCCAGCTCCTTCAATACGATCGACGGTTTAGGTATTCAGCTTATGAATAAACTTCCACTCAATATCCGAAACTTAGACAGCAAAAAATTTCATGCTTCCCCAGTTAAACTTTTTAAAGAATTAGCTTTTTATGACATTACTGAATTTTCTCAATTTGATTTCAATAACTATTTTCTTGTATAATCCTTATCCTTTATCTATGTATAGACTGACCATTTGATCGCTTGTACAACCATGTTTTTTATTGCTATTTTATTAATTAAAATTTTCCACGGTTTTAAATGAGTATAACTTTCAACCTTGTGCAAGGATTTTGAGCTTGACTGGTGGTCAAATAGATTTTCATATGAACTTGATGATGAACATTGTACTTAATGTTCGAATGCTCTTTTTCAGCTCTTTTTTTCAGAAGCGAAATTCGTGCAGCTACTATGATTATTATAAAATTACTATGCTTTTAATATTAATTATGAATAAGCTTGACTGAAATAATATTATTATTATTGATTACGGCTTGCTTATGAATAAATGAATAAATAAAACATTTGATGGCGGTTTTCACGTTTCAATAACCAATCTTATAATTTTAATTAATTTCATACAATTATCTTCTTCCTCGTAGATACGCCGCTGGAGACATCTACTAATTTCTAAAAAATATTCTATTATTTGTTAGCGATCTTGCTCATTGTTTTTGTATAAACAGACTGCAGAATAAAGTTGTTTAAAAAATACAATTTTCTGTTATCGGCCCAACCCTCTAGCTTTGCAGAGTACTCTACTGCAGAGAGCTAAGGCTTTTTCATTAATATTTTTTATATTATTTTCATTTATTTATATTTTTAATGAATCTCCTTATATAATATGATATAATGATAAATAACCAATATCGTAAGTCCATTCATTCTATTTTCTTCTCCATTAAAAAGAAATTAAAGGATGCAAGACTCATGAGTATGATATCCGCGCTCCTCAGAGAATACGCATCGCGCTTCTGTCATTCGAGTTCGGGGTCAATGCATCTCCAAGGCCGATTGATGTTTTTTAAAACAGATGTTTCTCAGCCAGAGACAGATTGCCTTTTAATCCATTGCACTTGACTAATAATTTGTGGTGAATGAAACATAATTGAGGGAATTA